AATAATTATTATTAACTAACTGCGAAAATAATCATTACAAAAATATCACTGCAGAAATTATCATTTATTAAAACTTCGGAAATAATCATTTTTGCAAAATTGAAAATATTATTATTTATTCAAATAAAGGTTTATAACAATATATATCAATAATTGCAAAAGGTATTAATTTTAACTAAAAGCTAAAAGGCATTATAAGTTTTATTTAAATAGTTTCGCATTTTCATTAGTATTATCATCAGAAAGTTCTTCGATGTTATTATTGTTATAATCATTTATTTTGCTTGTATTTTTCAAGTTATTTTGAATATCTTTGACATCCCTTTCACTTGGAACTTATTTTGCATTTAATTGTATCTATAAAAGCAATATTCAATAAAAATCAATCAAGCATAAATACAAAAGCAAATACTTACCAAGAAAATAGTACAACATTTTTTGACAGCTTCTTCAATACATCGAATATTTTTACTATGTGGATTTAAAATAATACAACAAACTGCAAGTGCAAAGGCAATTATTGGTGGTATTAAGCAGTATTCTCTACATTCTTTAGGCATAACCATCATGATTATCATATTAACTATTATAAGACTAGTATCTTCTACCTTCTATAAACTTTTATATGCATCAGAAATCTGTGGATATTTCTTCCATTCTGCAATTTTAGTACCCGCATTTGTCTTGATTTTCAGAACTTTAGGAAAAACTTTAAAAAGCACAAGCCATATATCCTTAGTGATAGCACTTCAATAGTGCCTCATTTTTTCAAGATACTACAAAATACAAATTAAAAAATCAACAAAAAAATTAACAAAAAATAATTGGTTATAAGTAATGTAATACTTACTATAGGCAAAAACTCTGAATAAAATTGAGAATCCCATCTATGTTCTCTAATATTCTTTATGTATCCTTTAGATCACATTTCAATATAAGCCTCGAGATATTCCTTAAATAATTCTGCAGTAGGATGTAACAATACTTTTTGAATATCTTTAGTAATAGCTACAATACCTTTCTATTGTG